AAAAAGTACAAAAAAGTACATTCTAATTTATATAATTTCAGTTCAAGTTTTAAGATGAGTGGTGATTTAGCATCTTCAAAGATTATATCCATAGTAATATATTAGTATTCAACCATAAACTGACACATTCTAAAAAACATGAAAGCTGGTATATATGTTACTATACGCATGCTTAAAAGTAAATTAAGCTGGCCATCACCAAATAAATTCTCACATATTCCCAATTATCTCAACTTCTTTGTTATCTGGTCCATATGTCTTATTAAAACGTCCACACTGAGTACAGCCATGTGTCACAGCAGTCAGTGATGAACTATTCTGATAAATAAAGAGAAGAATCATCTTTGAACCTCAAATTTCTTAAGGAAAAAGACTGTTAACTTTCAAGAGAAACAAATTATTCTTAGTTACTAACAAGCTATCCCACTCACTAACAGTTCAAAGAGAGAAATCTTCTCCAGTCAATAATGTGACATCTTTAGAGTAGTAATATTTATGAGGAAAAAAAATATAAGAATGATTTCAATTTGTTTGTTTAACAAACATTGTCATCTAGTGCTCAGTCACATAGTAGCAGCTATGATGGTAAGCTTAAGATCTATGTAGTCCCCTATCCAATGTTTAATTAAAAGTGAAAAGAGTAATACAGACTTTACTGTCACATGAGTCCAAAGCAAGAAGAATCAACATTGGTAGGGAAGTAAGTAAAGGATGAGTCTAACTATAAAGGCAAACAAATGGAGAAACCAGAGAGGAATATTCCTGAGGATGAAGAAAACATCAAACCAGTGGGAGAAAAACAGACAGTTGTGCCAGGAATCTATTTTACTAGATGGGAGATCTTTTATGTAGCTTAAACAGCAGCCTGGACGGGGGTTGGAGGCGGGTGACATTTTCAGAGGATAGCTTCAGTTTAAGGAGAAATGACAAAATGAGGCAACTAACTGAACATCTGAGAAAGAGGGAAGTAAGGCCAACACAACAGAAAGATGCTATGTCTCAAGAAATATGTATGTATGGAAAACAAAGAAACTGGAAAAATGAATTCTACTTTATATCCTCAGTGACAAGATGTTCAAGCATGCTATCATGGTAACTAAAGAAGTGGGAGCTCGGGCATCAGGTGAGAGACCAGACTTCTGGCACTACTGTCACTCAGGTCTGAACCTGCCATCTCTTTTCTAGATTAGAGCAATCATCTCCTGCTTCCACCCTGGCCTGCATCTCCTCTCAAACTCCTAGTCAGAGTGATCCTGAATAATGTAAGTCAGATTTGGCTCAAAACTTCCCAATAATTTCTCATTTCAAGTAGAAGAAAAGACAATTCTTAAATTTTATTATTAAGTGCTATAGAGTTCATCAAAGAAAAGGGCTCCCAAAGTCTTTTACAAACCAGTCAGGCCCTTCATCCGCCTACCAGCCTCCCCCTCCGTCCCCCTGCTCATCTGCACTGGCATTCTTATTACTCAATAAGCCAGGTTTCCTTCACCTTAGGGCCATCATCCCTAACTGTTCTGTCTGCCTTGAAAACTTCTGGTTGATTTACTCCACGTGGGTCCTGGACATCCTTCAACACATGGCTCAAAAGCCACTTTTTCAATGAGGCCCACACTGGCCACACTATCTAAAACTGAAGTCCCACTCTCAATCTAGTACTCCCGATTCTACTTTCTCTGGCTACTTATTATCCTCTAACTTCTATGAGGAAAACTGTGGCATTAGGATTGAAGGAAGACTCATCAATTTAAGGTAAGGGAAATTAATTTTACCTTACTTTCACCCTATTATTCCGGTACATTTATGTCTATTCTTAAAAGACCAGTTCAAATACATTACTGTTAAGTAGTTTGCTTCTGTGAAACCTCAGAAACAATGTGACAACTCTACCCAGTATTATTAGAAGTAAGGACTAACTCCATGCTAGAAGGTTCAGCTTTTGGTCTACTGAGAAATGTGGATCAAAAGGAGGCAAATGCAAAACAGAATTTCAAACTCTAACAGAAACCAGATTTTGTGGAGCTATGAAGGCTGGATGAACTACTAAGAACTAGTGCCCTGAAATAATCTTTAAACCTTAAACCAAAACTATTTCTTGAAGTTTTCTTAAAATTAATTATCAGTTTAACTGGTACACAGTAACTTCTTTGAGCACTTTTTTTAGCACTACGTCCTTTTAAAAATTATCCAAATGGCATCAAATTGGTAACAACAGCTTGAAAGGTCACGCACATGTGCACGCACAGACATACACAGAGCAATCTTTAGGTGCCATAGTTTATATTCATCAAGGAAGAACAATTAAGAAAAAGAGGGTGACACCAGTTGCACAACTTGGAGAATGCAAACAATGTCACTGAATTATACATGCAGAAATCATTAAATTGGACCATGTTCTGCTGTATATATTCTGAATAACAACAAAGTGAGTTAGGTGGTGTGGTGCCTTAACAGAAATACTCTGAACTCAGTAAAAGATAAAAACTGCAAAAATTAAGTTCACTCTATTTCATTTTCAATCAGAAACTCTTGCTCGTGATTTACTGAAGAGTTAATAATATTATGGTAAAGATGCATAGGTCAACTGTCCCTAAAGCTTTTTGGTATCAATATATCAGATGAGAGCAGTTTGCTGTTATGAATATAAAAAGCCTGCTTAGTATAGAAAGTATCTAAGAACAAAAAACTAGATGAAAAAAATTTCCCTAGATTAAGAAGTATTTTTCAAAATTATCAATTCACTCAGATGGAACAGGATGACCACCTTATCACTCAGATGGAGCAGGATGACCATCTTATCTTGGCAAAACTCAGAAGACTGTTTGTCCAACATCTCAGAAGACAGTCTGATGCAAACTCCCATCTGCTTTGTTCTGTTTGTTTCATGCCCAAAATGGAAACACAATACTTCACACACAACGGCAAAAAACTCACTAATCAAAAGAAAGTTGCAAAGCAGAAAAACAGCATAATACGAATAACAAAAATAAATTATTAGGTGGAAGTCTTGCTAGTGATCTTAGAAAAAGATACAGATGAGCACATTGAGATAACCAATCTATTCAAGACTAAACAATTCCATTCCCCTTACCTGATGAACTTTCGGTAAACACTGTTAATGTCTGTCCACCAACATTCTGCAAGACAAATGGATGTTCTCTAGGTGCACTGACTGAAGCTGGTTTTCCGCCGATATCATGAATATTTGCAAGATCTTCATTCAAAGTAAATGACACCTAACAAACACATTAACCAGAACTTACTATAACAGAACCTTGTCTTAAAGGAATCTATAAAAAATTTGTTATTAATAATAAAGTAATTCTCTAGTCATTTATTAAATACATTTTTAAAACTTCATTAAAAACTTTTAATAGTCAATCATACAAAAACCAGCAGACAAACAAAAAAATCCAGAATCTATTCCTATTTACCAGGACAATGACACTACTGTATCATTATAAAGAAAACTTTCCAATGTTTTCTCTGGTCTGTAACTGAGAAAAACCATCCCAAAACAGAAATAAATTTCTTTTTCCCTAATATTATTAAATGGGAGCTCTGGTAGCAAAGTCATAAGGAGCTGTTCTGCCAATCCAGAGGTACATGGTTCAAATCTACCAATTCTGAGGGCAAAATACAGGCAATCTCCTTTCACATGAATTACAAATCCAATGGAGTGTCAGCTATGAATTCATTTAGTTCAATAACAAGTAACAGCAATGTCTTGGAGGTTAAGGGATCACATCTTGTCACCTTTACAGCCTACAGAACCTCATCAAGTACTGGCACACAAAAGGAAACCTATTTGCTGAGTGAATGATTATTTTATATCTGCAGGAGAAGGATGGGCAATCTCCTCTTGAGCAACTAAACTGCCTTTGAAAGCAGTGGAGGGCCAGATATACATCGATTCCAACTCAGTGACACATAACACTGCACTTAAAAGAGGTGGGAAGGAGTGAGCTAATTACCTTGGAAAGGTTAAACACCCTCATAAGCAGATGTATTCTTTTCTTTAGGTTTTAATGAGTATGGTATGAAAACATTTAAAACAAAAGCAAAAAGTCTACCACCAACCTAACAAAACTCACAGCCAAAATAGTCAGAATCAACTCACAGCTGACTGTCACTGAGTGTCCAAGCCTGCACACAGCCTGGAGGATGCAGCCCACCTTTCTCTTTAAGAGCCACTGGTAGATTCAAAATGCCAGAGGTAAAGCATTTGGGCTAGCAGAGTATTTTACCAAGCACAATTAAGTATTTATAAGGATATCAGAATACGAAGGTTTAGAATAGAAATACAACAGTAAGTAAGCTTTCAAAATGAAACCAGATCTGCAAAAAAAAAAAACAAAACCAAAAACAACACCCAACAAACCAATGAACAAGCATAAAATTTGTAATCTCTTAATCAAGTAAGGATTACCATATACTTACCTACTACTTACTAAAAGTTAAAAAAAAACACTAAAACAACACCCCAGCCACTGCCACCACCACCAAGCCTGTGCTGGCTCACAGCAACCCTCCACTCGGTTTCCGAGACTGGTTTCTTTAGGAGAGGGCACTACTCATTAGCATTACACACTGTGTTATCTGGGCCCTGAGCTTAATTAATGGATCACAATCGAAACCCCGCAAATATCTAACTCAAATGCTTCTGCTACAGTGAATACTAGGTTTCACAGTGTAAATATAGAATATTTAGGTCAAAGGGGAAATCTGGATAAAAAGAACCAATACTGGTCGGAACCAGAAGAGTCCACAACCAGTCACATAAAGGTGGCACAGTTTTTAGAGCCCCTGATCACCAGTCATTCTTTTGGGATGAAGTTTTCCGGACGGAAACAATACTCTCTCTTTAATATAATAACAGTATTACTAAATATATCTTTATATTTTAAAGACAAATTTTGCATAATCTTACCTCTGTCCTTCCTTGATTCCTAAAAGAGAAACGAAAATTTTTTTTAGTATTTAAAGTTCATAAGATTTTTGTTTCGTTTTCAAATAAAAGCTAAAGACATAACCAAAACCCTAACCTGTTCCATGTCTGTCAAGGTGTTTCAGACCCATGGCAGCCCTGCATCAGGTTTCTAAGGCTGTAAATCTAAAAGGGAGAAGACTGCCCATCTTTCTCCTGGGGAGCTGCTAATGAATTCAAACAACTAACCTTCTGTATAGAAGACTGACACCTTAGACACTGTGTCATCAGAGTTATCTTATATTTACATAAAATACAGGATGTACAGAATAAACCTAATATTTAACTTGGCAGCCTTCCATTACTGATAGGCTGCAACTTACAGTATGCTCATGTTACAATGAATTATAGGTTTTAATACATTTTATTGTTAGTGATATGTGCTACATAGAATGGTACAGCATGGAGTTTGCTGATGTTACTATTATTCTAAGATGTTCACTTAAAGATAACCAATTTTATGATTTACTATTAAAAAAAGTGCTGTCTGGCAGACTGAAGCATTGTACCTTACTGAAGAAAGTTACAGGAATAATACATACAGAGGTTACTGTAAAAATTGAGTTCTGTGAACACTCTCTAAACATTTGATGAGAATGATATAATCAGTGTGAAAATGACGCGGATGGTAAGAACGATGCATTCAGAATTTTATGTCACTGATGTTTAACAGCTTACATAAATATTAATAACTGACAGATAAAATAGATTTTGAAGAGAAAAAAAGGGTAAAGAGACGAAATATAAAATAGGATACAAGTTAACATTCAAATAGAGTCACAATGGACAAAGATAAGAGAGAGAGACACTACTTCTTTCACTTCAAGAGTTAAAGAATGGTTCAACAAAAAAGCAGCTCTGAGCTGGGCCTTGAAGGGTATTAGGATCAAAACAGGCTGAGATGTAAAAAGAGTATCAGAAGCAGTTCAAAGGAAGCATGCAAAATAAGAAAAGCCATGGAAAATCTTGAGTATCCCAATACAGACTTTGCAAGCAACGAAGATCCACAATTATTTTACACAGGGAGGCCAAAAGAGATGTCTGAGTGGAAATACCAAGAAGGCAATCAGGTATGAGTCCAGACTGGAGAAAACATTGAGAAAAGTCAGTGGTATTGAAAACTACAACTTATGAGACTACCTAGAAATAACCACAGGCTGAGTCCAGGGATCATGTTATAGTTAATGACTGAGAGAATAAAAAGGAAGAAACAGCTGCCAAGGAGGGGGAAACATGAGTCAACAGAGTGGTGCCTCAAAGCCCAATTGGGGGGGGGGGGATTCCCAGAAGTGATTAAACAACTGCTAAATTTTGCTGAAGGTCAATTAAAAAGAAGAGTGCTCTTGACTGCTAGATTATTAATGTGGTAGGGTTGGCATTAGATCCCATCAAGTAGGCTCTCAGACGGTGAGGATGGCCCAGGACAGGGCAAGGCTCAGATCTGTTGTTTACAGGGTCACAATAGGTTACAGGCGACTTGGTGATACCTAACAACAATAACAAACTGACTTTAAGCCTGTCTTTAAGACACTAAATTTTGAGGTGGTCTGTCATACAGCAAAACTAACTGATAAAATAGAAGCTATTGGTCACAGACAAGAGGTGTTTCAAAGGAGGGACAGGCCTAGCAATTAGAGAAGAACAGGAACACAAAGCCTCTGGCTGGTACCTGCTGAGCTTTAAAGCTCCCATTTTTAAGGAGGCTATTTTCTCAACCAGGAAGCTAAACTGTCACATTTGCTCAGTTGTCCCATATCTTCCTCCAACAGCCCTCTAGAGACAGTAGCCAGTGGCAAAGTTCTTCTTACCAGAGCATTTTCCTTGGTGTATAAAGTTATGCCCAACCAGAGTATACCTCTTCCCAGGATATCCAAAGGATGGGGCCTAGGGGAACTCAATATTCTGCTAGCTCACCAATAAGACATTTTACCAGTAAATTTAACTTTTATTAACACCATTGTGTGTGCACATTTGCATGTAATTCCGTACAGGGCCCCTAACCATCATGTGAGGAGCCCTGGTGACTTGGTACATATCAGACTGATAATTGAAAAGATCAGCAATTCAACTCTGCCATGTGCTTTACTTAAGAAAGGTGAGCAGTCTCCTCCTTCTGTAAAAATGTACAGCCTTGGAAACTCAATAGAGTACCCCATGAGTCTGGTGTTTTTAACCATCACTTGTTAGGCTTTGACATGCTGAATGTTGTCATCTTCTCGGAAGTCTCAACAACTATTACAAAGCAAGTAAATTACCTACTTGAACAAGAACCAAACTCCTACCTGAAAGCACCTGTAAAAACTTTCAAGCAGCTTTCAAAAATGTCAAAATATGTAAGTAACTTACTTGGCAATCCGCAGTTTCCCAACTTCGCCTCTTCCTGGAGCTTTTGCCCACTGCTGGGACAAGTATTTAGGAACCTTAAATGAAGTAAAGCACAAGTAAGACAACGCATGCAAAGCTAACAAATTTTTTTAAATATACTAGACTGCTTCTATTTTCTATCTTCAGAAAATTAACATTACTTTATCAAGCTCTCATTCATGTTATGTACTTATAAAGGATATAAAGATATGTAAGAAATGATTTTACTTTTCAAAGTGAAGGACCCCCGAACCGCTGGTCCTGTTCTGTCCCGAGTGGACGGCGAAGACCCAAGACTCCAAGACACCAGCTTGATGCAACAGCAAGAGATAAGAGGTTTATTGCGGAGCTCCGGGCGACTCTTATCTCTGGCAAGAGATAAAGGAGCCGACCACGAGCAGACAAAGTTGGGTTTTTTTATACACTTTAGGGGGATACAACTGAGTATCAGCTTCTCATTGGGTGATGAAAGCACAGTTTGAATTCATTGGTTCAGTGTTCGCTCAGGGTTTACACAGCATTTTTGCACGTAGCACTTGCGGCAGTCACTTGGGCAGTCACGTAGCACATGTAGCAGTTAGATAGATCTTTAACTATAGGGTGGTGTCACAAATTCTTAAGTATACAATGAGTTCAAACTCCAGGGCAGTGGAAAAGCACAAGATACATTGGTTATCAGTCGAGAAACATCTGCTTGTTTGCCCTGCTTTTCAGTTAGCCATTCCTGAAATACTGTTGCCTTGGATATAGCTGGGTGTGGGGCTCTACCAGGGACAATGGAAAAATTCCTGAGTTTAACTCAGCTGAGAACTATAGGGACTATTTTAATTTCAATCTTTTCAAAAGCACTTAATGTCAGTAATGTTGATGAAAAAACCCAAAGAACAAAGAATTTAACAATAATAAAGTGCTAACTTATGCTTCCAAATAAGTCTAACAAAGCTTTAACAAGGAAAAGGCTACCAAAATGTCCTTTTACAAAGGATAAGACTCTTCACTAGAATGATGGGAAGATAATTTTTCTTTTCTTGCTTTCAAGATCGTAACTTTGAACAGAATGGTAGTCCGTTAAAATTCACTGAATGGCTAACATTATATAATAGTATTTTCCCAATACTGTTGTGTTTTTTATAATATATTCAATGCTCATATATCCAAGAGGGAAGCAGTTAATTACAGATGAGGATGGTGAGCAGCTAACTCTTTACCCAGGCATTCATATTCTTAGCATATTATACTGTACCTGAATAAATCTCATTGGAAGACTTTTAATTCTCAAAAAGAGAATCTTTACTATGTGATACATAGTAAAACTACTACAAAGTAGTTTGGGTTCCGGAACCAGTATATTATCTACAAGATTATCTTGGTGAGGCGTTAAGTAACACAAGTGAGTATATTGCATTATACAAAGTACTCAATGAGTATTATTGTTAAGTGCCAATTCACAGAGACTTTATGCACAACAACAGCAGGAGACACTGGCAAATCTGCCCCATTCTCACAATCGCGCTGTGTTCAAGTCCATTGTTTTAGCCACTGTGTCAATTTATCTTATTGAGGATCTGCCTCTTTTGCACCTACCCTCTACTTTCCCAAGCATGAAGTCTTTCCCAGGGACTGACTTCTCCTAAGAGAATGGCAAAAGTAAGTGGGATGTAGTTTCACCACCCTCATTTCTAAGAAGCATCTTCCTATGACCAATTTGTTTGTTCTTTTGGCAGGCTATATGGTATATTCAATATTCCTTGCCAACACAATAATTCAAAAGCATCCACTCTTTATCAGTCTTTCTTACTTTGAAAGTCTCTCCAACTTTTCCATGGATCTGAGAGGCAACTAAAACATCCGGCCTGAGTCAGCTTCTTTAAAGTGACAACCTTCTTTAGCATTTAGAGGTGTCTGCATGTGGCAGCAAACCTGCCTATTGCAATAATACGAGTTTACTGTACTCGAACCCATAATCAGTGCTTATAGAGGCAGCACTCAGATATCGAACAAGAAGGAGGAGTCACGAGGTGGGCTGATACAGTAGCTGTAACAACAGATAGGTACTGTGATCAACGTACACTGATTGTGACGATGATGAAGGAGCAGTTAGTGTTTTACTCTGCTTATACAGAGGATCTCAATTAGTCAAAAATTATTTAAGGCAACTTACAACAATAAGGACAAAGTTCTATTGGAAAGAGTCTTGCTGGGACAGTGATTCAAGTACTTGTTTGTTAACTGAAAGGTTCAAATCTACAAGACATTCAGTGAGAGAAAGACGGCAGTGTCTTGCTTCTTTAAAAATCAAAGCCTTCAAAACCCTACAGGGTTTGTTCTACTTTGTCCAACAAGACGGATGAAACAGCGCTCAACAGCAGAAAGCCTGTTTTCCTTTTTAAATATCTATATAACATATAGATATTAAATAGATGTTTTATATAGATATATAAATATATAGATTAGATATATAGATATAGATAGATATATTATATAGATATTAAATATCTATATAACAAACTATATAAACAAACCTGAAGGGCTTGCTGCTGAGGGTCAGGGACTGCAGCCTTCAATATGGATTGAGGCTCAATGTAAAGAAGACAAAGATTCTCACTACTGGACCAATTGGCAGCATCAGGATGGATGGTGAAGAGATCAAGATTGTTCACAGCTTTAGTCTGCTTCGCTCCACAATCTACACTCTTGGCACCAGCAGCCAGGAAATTAAAAGACATATTGCCATGGGGAAAATCTGCTGTTAGGGACCTCTCTAAAGTACTGAAGTGCAATGGTGTCTCTCTGGAGACTAAGGTGCGTCTGGTACATGCCATCGTCTTTGCAATCACTTGTTATGCGTCAGAGAGCGGGACAAAGACCAGGGTGGATAGAAGGAGAATTGATGCCTTTGAACTTTGGTGTTGGAGAAGAGTGCTGAGGGTATCATGGACTGCTAAGAAAATAAACAGATTCATCTTAAAGAGGGTTAAACCAGGCTGCTCCTTTGAGGCAAGGATTCTGAGACTTCGTCTGACATACTCTGGTCATGTTGTAAGGAGAGACCGGTCCTTGGAGAAGGGTATCATGCTTGGGAGGGTGGAGGGCAGGCCCAGGAGGGGAAGGCCCTCTGGGAGATGGATTGATTCAGTGACTGGGATGAGTGCATCAATCAGGATGAGTGTGTTGGAGACAATGAGATTGGCACAGGACAGAGCAGAGTTTAGAGCTGTTGTACATAGGGTCGCTATGAGTCGCAAGAGACTCTACGGCACATAACAACAACAAGAACATATAACAAACATTTCTAAAAAGAACCATATGATTAAGTTAAACATGACAGCACCAATAACACAGTAAAAATTCAGAAACAAAAGTGTCAAACAAAGATCCAAAGTGTCAAACAAAGATCCTACAGCTATCTGAATAGCTATGCAACAGAAGTTAAGAAAAGTGGAGGGAGGAAAATGGGCAATCATGTCAAGGACCATTATTCCATTTAAAAGGAGCTTGAGTGGTACAGTGGTTAAGTGTTCAGCCTGCTAACCAAAAAAGCTGGCCATCTGAACTAACCAGCAGCTCCACAGGATAAAGACACAGTCGTCCAGGGCTGACTTCCAGAGATGTCAGCCCTGGAACCCCCACGGGATATGGGGGTCTCCTACGAGTCAGAATCAAATCAACTCAATGGGAAGAGATTTGGTGCTTTATTTTTTAATCCTAGTTAATCCTCACAATCACATTCTCCAAATTAGAAAACACACAGCTAGTTAATATTAAACCCAAGACTTGATGTCAAAATGCTCTGCTATTCTCTTCCCTACACCACTAGGTCTCCCAAAGGCACCCATGCTAAAATAAGCATGCCAAAGATCTAAAGGAAAGAGAGTGTTGAAGAGCCCCTACTTTGGCACAGTTTGAACTACACCACCCCTTACACATTCAACAAAGTTTTGAAGATTTGAAAAATTCCTTTTGTTAACTGAATCCATAAGATGTACCAGAGAGTATGACAGGTTTGGGAAAAGTCTCCTTTATTTGTGAATGACAGCAAATCAACCTAAATTTACTTTAAAAAGTAGATTTATTGACCCAAGTAATTGAAAAGTCAAGAGATAGCAAAAGGTGGCCGCCTCAGGTTTCAAATAAGGAGTGTCCTCCTCCAAACTCCCCGCGTTTGCTCAGCTCCTAACGCTGGTGGTTCAAACTAAGCCAAAGTTACCTCAAAAAAAAGGCCTGATGCTCTGCTTCTGAAAAATCCTATAGTTCTGCTCTGACAGACATAAGCTCACCGTGAATGGGAAGCAACAACCAGTTAAGTACTGACAAGGGCTCAACAGTCCCCAATAACTATCTCACATCTGCTCTCCCATCCTGGCTCCATGTTCTGAAGATACTTCCTTTTTTTATCAAGAGTCTGAAGCAGCTTTTGAAGACACTGGTTCCCTTCCTAAGATAAGAGACCACACGGTCATCAACGACTTTAAGACAAGCATACAAATGTAACAGTGCAAGGAAACTAGATTAATGAAAACAGAACAATGAGAGCAGAAATAAAAAGTAAGTTCACACTGTGAAGAATGCAACTAACACTCTTGAACAACTTGTGATGAAAATATTGAATGGAAATTTAAACTGCTGTGTAAACCTTCACCAAAACAAAAACTACTATGCTAAAAATATAATAGTAATATATGAATAATGGCACTAATTTTCTTTCCCTTTCACCTATTCAAGTACATCTTTACTTCAAAATGCCTTTTCTCTCCACCACTCACTTGATCATTCCCATCAGAATAACAATAAAACAGCTAATGCTTTAAATGCTAACTAAGTATGCCAAAAGACTTGAGTAATTTCATAACCTGCAGTATACGTTAAGTATCATTTATATTTTCTGTCTTTGGAGTTTACTGGTATGTTTCACTGTCACTTATAATATGTAAAAAAAAAATCTGTAAAACAGTAGAAAATGTGTTGGCACCACAATGCTATGTTGGAAAGTCACATGTGCTTAGAGGTAAGATTTTGTGAAGCATATGCTCTTTGGCCTTCTCTACAGTAAAATAAG